ACATTCGAGAATACAGCAGGGCCACAGAAACATCAGGCAGTGGCACTGATGGTAGCCTCCGACCTATCGGTCTTCTATCGTTGCAGTTTCAAAGGTTATCAGGATACTCTTTTGGTACACTCACTGAGGCAATTTTATCGCGATTGCCAAATATATGGTACCATTGATTTCATCTTCGGAGATGCAGCAACAGTTTTTCAAAATTGTGACATCTTTTTAAGAAGGCCAATGGACCACCAAGCCAACATGATAACTGCACAAGGAAGGGATGATCCGAATCAAAACACGGGAATTTCAATCGTCAATTCTCGGGTGGCGCCTACATCTGATTTTCATGGTGTTAAAGGTAATTTCAGGAATTATCTAGGTCGGCCGTGGAAGAAATACTCAAGGGCTGTTTTCTTGAATACGGATTTAGATGGTTTCATTGATCAAAAAGGGTGGAAAGAATGGAGGGGAGATTTTGCCCTTTCAACATTATATTATGCAGAGTATATGAATACAGGAATTGGGGCTTCAACACAAAATAGAGTGAAATGGCCTGGTTTTCATGTGCTGAAGGACCACCAAGAGGCCAATCCCTTTACAGTGAAGAATTTCATACAAGGAGACTCATGGATTCCATCTACTGGTGTGCCATTTTGGGCTGAAATTTAAATCTCGAGTTAATGTTAGAGCATGTTTGGCTAGCTGCTTCTACCAAAAAAGTCGATTTTTTCCACATTATCACTCTTGTATGGCAAAATAAACCACACGTGCCTGTCTGTGTGTAATATAACTACTGGTTTGCAATGGAAATGTATCGTGTCTAATGTCGTCTGTCAATTGATGTTCTAATTGCTGGGATTTGTTCTTGTTAGCTAATATTCTACTCTTTTTTACACAACTTTGAAAGCCCATTTTATATGACTATAAGTTAAATTAAGAGAGCCTGTGTGCTTTACATATTTGTGTTATATTGAACTTTGATTCGGGTGTAAACGATATTTTGTCCCGCCAAATAAATTCCTAGATCGTGTGGGGCCAACATTGTGTGCCACGGATTCACATGGATGGTCACACTCATCAAGGTTAAGGCCCTTGATTTTATTTATTTACTTTTATTTTTATTTTTTTTGCTGTTTTAATAATTTAGGTTAAACTTTCTTGGACTCTTTTTTGTTGTGCAGTGCTTGACAAGATTACTAAGGGCCTTTAGAAGAAGAATAATAAATTAATAAAGTAAATGATCATTGACGGTAATTCTGTTGGTAATTGTAAACAATATGAATATTGACGATTTTGATTGAAATTTGTATTTTTGGAGGATTCAAAGAGTTTTGTTAGAATTAATAGTGACGATGCTGTTGATGCTATTAGGACTTATCGTTTGTACTTAGTCATCGACGATTCACTCATAAAATTTTATTCTTCGTATTTTTTTATAATTTAATAACAGATAAGATATTTTTTTATTTTTTTCTTAAAACATTACTAACTGATAATTTCTTTTTTTTTACTTTAAAATTTTTAATGGGAGTTTCGGCTAGGATTTAATTTTCATATTTTATTAATTTATTTATTGTCAATTTTTCTTTGATTAATTAAATTTGCAGAACTTTGTTGATTTTTTTTTTAATTATAGCACTGAAAAATTAATACATTTTTATAATATTAAATCGAAAGAAAAATTCAATATAATTAACTTGACATGCATTAATGCAAAAAGGGATTGATTTTTTGGATCTTTAGGATGCGTTTGGTTTGCGTTTTATTTTCTATTTTATGTTTTGAATTCATTTTCATTTTTTTTAGTTTTAAAGATTATTTTAAAATTGCAGAAAACGCATTTGATTTGTCATTTTGAAAAATTGTTTCTCAAAAAAAAAAAAAAAACTATAAAATCCGTTGGTTGAAAATTTTCAGAAATGGTTTTATGATTTCAATTAATTTGATTATTTTTAGTAAAATATATCAATTTTATGTTAATTCACGATCAAAAAATATAAATTTTAAAGTTAGTAAAAATTAAAAATGAATCATTATAAGATTGAGAGATAGCACTAGAGAGATGGATTCTCCATTATGGTTCTTTGAGGAGCTTGAGCGAGAGAGGGATTGAGAGATGGGTATTCGTATTTTGGTAGGTTTTGTGTGATTTTATTAATTATTCTAACTTTAAAAAAAAAAATTTAAGTTCATTTTCCTTATTTTGAGTGTTTTCAAATGAAAACACTCAAAAAGGTCAAAAATTCCTTTTAAATGTTATGTTGTAAAATTTTTTTTATTCGAAAACACTCTTTTGAAAATAATATATCAAACACATTTTGAGTTTTTATAAAGTTAAGAATTGAAAATTACCTCAAAACAGCAAACCAAACCCTCATTTGCAATAGGCTTAAAAGAAAGAAATATCTATATTCATCTGCTCATTAAAGTGTTTGTTAGAATAAATTAAAAGGTTAACTTCAAATTTAATAATTAATTTTGCATAGGATTCTCAATTAGTATCAACTTTCCAACTACTCATTTTCGTGGGATCCATCACTTATACTTTTATCAAAATAAACTTTTTTGCTCTCCAAAATAGAAACTAAATGTGTGTTTGGGAAAGTTCAACAAGTTGAGATCAAATCAACAATTATTTTTACTCACATTTCACATGATCCATAGTTTTATAAGCTTTTGAACCCCAAAATTCATCAATTTTTATCAAATATATTATTATTTTTTTTTTTCCAAAAACTTTGTCAAACAACGATAAATAATTTCACCGCTAGACATACAAAAGATTTATCTGTGATGGGAACAATTGAGTCAAGAAAAGTTCAAAAGTTAAAACTAAAAAAAAAAATCCAATGTAGGAAGAATTTATTTTTGTTTTAGCACTATAGATATTAAAACACAAGTTGATGTGACACTAATGT